CGCTGTAAACCGTTCAGTACGACATAAAAAAGAAAATCAGAGATTTACCTTCAGGGCTTTCTTCTGTGATGGGGTAAAAAGACAATGAATTATTTATTTGTTTATGGTCCATAAAGTGCAGCTAATGGGTAAAAGGAAAACAGACCTTTAATATGAAAATGATCACACTTTAAGGTTTTTCCAAATCAATAAAATTGGAGGAAAATTGTGTTGTTGTTTTTTTTTGGTTTTTTTTTTTTTTGTTTGATTCGCTGAAATCTGATGATTAAACACAGACGAACAGACAGTTCTGTAAAAGTTGTTGACACTCCCTGAAATCTAACCTCTGATTGGATTGTTGACTACAGGTTAAAAAAAAAAGATTATTCAGATTATTTTAACCAGGTAGTTGGTTCGTAGCTCCATAAAAATTTGGTACCGGGCCTCAGTGGGATACGGTAAAAAAAAAAGTACTTCAGTTTTAGTAATTTATTTCAGTCTTAAAAAATCCAGTCATATCCCTTTACTTTTTTCATTCAAAGATAATCTGTCAATGTTTCAAACCAACAGGTCAAAGGTCATTCAGACTCTGATACTAAGAGAAGAAAGTCTGAAAGACGTTTTATTTTGAAAATTTAATGATCCAACAATGAGGTGTGGTTGAAGGAATAAGAAGAACATTTGACTGACACTGACATTGACACTGACTGAGTAGGAATCACTGACACTGACACTGAGTCACTGAGTCACTGACACTGAGTCACTGGTGCAGCACAGACAACTTCACTCATGACTTCACCCAGTGTTTTTCCTCTTGTGAAGTTATTTTTGAACAACGGCTCTGTTTAATCTGTTTCTAAGGACGCTTTCACTCAACAGGAAGTGCTTTTATGCAGACTTGGTTTTATCGACTTCTGCTGTGATTCACTGTACGTCCACACGGTGTTGGGCAATGACTCTCTGTCTTAATTTACCAAAAATGAAATTTTAACAATTTTGATAATCGACCGCGGTATCTCACTGTTCAGATTTTACAAATAGTTCAACCAGTAGATCACAGCCAGGCTTCAGTGAAGGCCCGCTGTACGTGAGGGTGAAACGAAAGTACAACAGTGAGATAGAAAGACAGAAAGGTGAGCAGAACATTTAATGAGCAGGTTTCCAGTGTCAGCTCTGTAACTGGGTTAAAGTCTGACAACAGTGCATTACTGAAGTTGAAACACAATCACAGCACTGCAGGCCTCACTTCTCCAGACACTGCTGATTAAGATTCTTTCAGCACAAACAACTGGATGTAATGAGACGTGAATGGTCCAGTTCACTGACTGACACCAAATAAATCCAGAGAATGAAACACTTTTTCTCTTTACTTTTTCTCTCTTCTCTGTCCACTTATTCTGGAGCCAGGCCCGGGACAAACGGAGCGATTCAAGACGGGATAAAATGATACATTGTGCCGGGAAAAACCAGCCTTTTGTGAAAAGCTGATTATCTGTGTAAATCCTGTGAAGTCGACACAACTGTGTCTCAATTTACAACAAGACGACTGTGTTCACAACAGTCCGTTTACACAATAAAAAACTAAGTCTATGTTTCTACTATATACTGTATATATAATTATTTAATATTTTCTGTTTAAACACCCATTTAAAGAAGTCATTTTTTTCGATTACATTTTACCAAGTCGACAAAAACTGTTCCTCATATCAAAGCCCAAACATTTGCATGTGTGACTCTATTTAAGCAGATCACATGACTCTTTGTTTTCCTGCTGCAACAAAAACAAATCACATAAACACTGTGTCGTTTGTCCAACAGGACAGGACACTCTACCACTGCTACAGCTACTGACGGATGTTGTTTTAAAAAACTTTTTTTTTCAAGGTACAAAATATATGTGCATCATATTTAAGACAAACTCCAATCACATTTACAAAACAACTGCAGAATAACACAAAAGGGCAAAGTCTTTAAAGACTTTAAAGCACCAACCATCAGGTTAAAAATATGGCCCACTCCAAGTACTTTTCTACCACACCCCAATTATGAAAGAAGAAAAAAACAAATATCCTAATGACTAATGACACAAACAAACTCATCTTGAACAGTTCCCAAACATTTTTGTTTTTTTTTCCTAAATGTTCTCTCTCTCTCTCAGCAGCGCGTTGACGTTCAAGCTGGCAGCAGAAAGAGGCGGTGACTCAGCGCTGCTGTTTCATCAACTCCCAGAGAGTCTGTTTGAGCACGGCTTTATGCTGCTTAGCAAATCACCAATCACACAAACAGGTAACCAAGGAGCTGCACTATTCTCTAGAGACGAACAGCGTGAACCAAGAACAGCATCGAGTTTCAGAAACACACAAAACTGTAGAATTATTTAAAGAAATAAAAAGATCGCAGGTTGATTTTTTTTATATTTAAATATCACTTATCATCAATGGTCTGTTCACTGGCTGATTCATAATCATGAACATTTTGGGAATTAAACTCCAAACTGTTAAACTATGTTCATTTATAATAATGTCCAGAAATGACACGAGTGCCAACGGATCAGTCTGCCAGAAAATGAAAGTGCTGCAAAAAAAAAAAACCCACTCCACTCTGAGTCTAACTAATCAGTGATTCATTGCAGGGTGTGGGATCAGGAAGGCAGCCAAGAGAACCTGCTGTCTCTCAGGTCAAAGTGCAGAGCAGCAAACGTGACATAAACACAGGGACTAATTCAATAAAACGGACAAACGAAGCCCATCGTGAGTGTGTGAGTGTGTGTGAGTGTGTCTTTGCACTTACTAATAGGATTCAGAGGTCAGGGGTTTTTGTGTTGCGTCCTGTAGCAATCTGTGGTTTGGCTGATTCACAGTGTGTTAAGATCAGGGAGACTTTTTTTTTATCCTAATAAATGTTTTGCACATAAACACATCTCCATGTAGACGGATATTATTTTGGCCACACAAACAGGCAAATTTAAATAATCTGGAGCCGGATCTTCAGATCCCGGAGCTGGACCTTCAGATCCTGGATCCCTACTGTATCCTCAGTTCCGGTGCTGATTTTCAACCTGTCACTTCACAGTGTGAGGCAGAACTGCCGATGACACGGTTCTTACAGTAGCTCCACATCAGAGTCCAAACTCCTCAGTCAGTCTCTCTGTGTTCAGACCATGAACAGTCCTTTGACATGCTAATGCAAAGACCTGCCAACTGAGCTAACTGGATCAGATGAACACCATCTCCGGGGGTCCTTCAGAGACCAAGGCTTCGGCCAGCAGCTTCGAGGGCTATTAAAGATTGAACACTAGCAGCGGAGGAAATGTTTGTGACTGACAAACATCACTGTGCAGCTTCTACACGTCGCACAGCTACAGGCTCCATTTTTCCTTTGTTGTTAACAGAGTGTGTTTTGTTTTTCCTCTGCCATCCATCTATTGGAGCACATAAAGGAGCAGCCGTGCATTCTTGTTATGACCCAATCAATGACAGACTGAGGACGTGGCCCCCTCGGTGATGAACACATTAACCATGGGGCGATAACTCAGACGTAGACAGGTGCAATTTCCTGTCTGAATTTCATTACGATTAACTCCCTGGCTGGTTGTGGCCATAACACAGTTCATGATGGAAGGCTGATCAGGATGGTGGCTGTAGGGGGCAGCACTCTCTTTGTCTACAAACACAACAGCTACACAACTTGTGCGATGAAGATGCTTCTACAGTGGAGGACTAAGAGGCAGCAAACGCATCGTGGATCTATGGAACTGCACCTTTTTTTTCTATGACACACTTGGATCTAAACCCAACAAGGGTTGCCTGAATTACCAACATGTGACTCAGGGGGCAGTAATCAGATGAAAACACTGTTCAGTAGATCGGAACTCAATTCTCTAAAGTTTGAAAAAGACTCATTTACTCCAACTGTAGAGAGAGTGACAGCAAACACATCTTTGGAATGTTTATTGGATCCCCACTCCCCCCCGACCATATCTGGAAGTTTGCCATGAACTTGGGATCATTTCCGTGTCATTTATCCTAATCATTTCCGTGTTGTCATTTATCCTAAAGTAATTACATTTTGATCACATGTATTTCAAATTCCATAATTTTCCAGCTTATTCTGGTAAAGAATCACTGGATGAGCTGGAGCCAATCACAGGTCTCATACAAAAGGACAACCAGTAACTTTCTTGCATTTGTACACATGGTACGATGCAGTGGTAAAATGGTAAATGTGACCCACATGGTCTCCATGGTCTCCATGGCCCATGTGGGTGCAAAGCTAACAGTACTGATGGATTGAAAGGTCAAATGTTAGCTTCAGAACAACACCAGTGCTTTATTTACACATCAATGGACTCCAACTGGTTTGTTGACCTGACCCGCCCGTACCCATGTAGCCCACATACACCCCAAATGGACAGGCAGGGGGTTGGGTTGTTTTTTTTTCAAACAAAAATAGAAAGAAACTGAATCAGAATCAAGACAAAAAAAGCGATCAGTTGACTTCTCACCAACCACTAGTTCTGGTTCTGGTTCTGGAGGTCGCCCACCGAGACTGGACCGGACGCCAAATTTTAAAACCCAAAACTCAGGAAGTCAAACACCGGCCTCAGAATCGTCAAAGAACGACCTGACATCATATCAGTCTCTATACGTCCATTCCACCCTGCACTGACTTCAACAGATGCTGGGATCGTTCTACCTGGCAACAAAGCATACATGCAGCACCAGGATCCTGACCACAATACGGCAAATCAGCATTCAGCACAAGTGTTGGTGGACTCAAGGGGAAGAGGCTGTGCAACAATTGCACAAAAGAAAAAAATATAACGGAAAAAATATATATATACTGCATGTTGTATTTGTCATTCCCGCTTCTAGTACTCGCGTGTATTTCTTTCAGTGTATATACGGGGGTCTTCCACACAGAGCAGGAGACTGAACTGCAGCAGCTGATAGAAGCGGCTCCAGGTCGGCCGGGCTTCGACGCAGAGACAATGCACACACACACACCAGACCGTACCGCACCTTTCACTTGGGTCTCGTAGTCTGCGATGATCTCCTTGTCCTTCTTGTATCTGGTGGATGACATGTTTCCTCCGCGTTCAGGCTCAGAGTCCGGTTCCGGTGAGCACCGACTTTCCTCCGGTGATGATCCGCGCTCGTCTGCAGCCCGTGTTCCTTCCTTCTTCCTTCCCCAGTTAGGGGCCGTGCATCGGGCAGAACAAAAGCTCAAAGGTCGAGTTGGAAAAACGGGAGAAATCAGTGCAGGGTTAGGGTTCCAGCAACAGTCGGATTCAGCTGCATTCTTCTCGGGGTTTTCTCCTTCGCTTCTCCCGGCGGTGTGACAGAGGAACCGCGGTTCCGATCCCGGTACCACCGTCTCAGACAGAGACACAAAGACACCAGCGAGCTGAGGATCGAACTACAGCCTGGTACAGAGGAGCAGCTCCAGTCTCCTCCAGTCTCCTCACACACTGCTCCACCAGACCGAGCTGCTTTGGAGAAGATGAACACACGCACGAACACGCACGCGCACGAACACAGTTTTCACTGTGACCTGTGACTCTGCAGGGAGACGGGAATTCAAGAAGCAGTCACGTGACTCATCATATTGTCCAAAGCGAGCAGTCCTCGGTTCTTGTCACGCGCACATGCACGCGCACGTCATAATAATTATTAAAAAAACGACTCCCGCCTTTAAGTGTCACGTGAAGGAATCGCCTGCAATTCCTTGACAGGACAAGGTGTCCTATGGAATGTTCTGCTGTGTGGATTAGCAGGGATGCTAACTGTCTGATCGATCTGTTTGTTTTCCTGTTTTCACACGTGACCAAAACATTATGACCTGGAAATATAATAAAAATAAATAAAAAAACGAGTTCTAAAATTCTGCAAAACAGATGTTTTGCAGAATTGCAGAAAGTTGTTTTTTGTTTGTTTAATATCACACATGCAGTATATGTTATTAAATTAAAATATTAACCAAACTTGATTTGAAACCTGGTAAATCTACAAAGGTTTTCGTTCTCTTCCCATCTGTGCCTTGAAATCATCGAAACTGAGAAGAAGAAGAAGAAGAAAAAGGAAATGAAGCAGATTTTGACCTGTTAAAGTCAAAGAAATCCCC